CCTTTTTCTTTCATTGATTTCTTTGCCTCTTGCATATCTTCAGGACTGAGAAATAGAACACCTCTCTTCTTCGGAGTGGGTTTAGGAATAGGCTCAGGAGTTGGCTCAATTGGTTCAGGAATTGCCTCAGGAATTGGCTCAGGAAGTCCAATTATTTTCATTAGTCAACATATTATTCAATAGTAATTCAGCTTCGTCAACTGTTCTTTCCCTGAAAACACAACCAGCACAACTGTCCAAGTAGTCCTTGGAAGCATCGGTTAGTCCATTATAAAAGATATCAAGTATTTCATTTTTCTTAAGAGGATGATTAGGCAAAGCATTAAGTAATCGGAGAAGCCTCCCCCAAGCTTGTGGGAGACTCTCTTCTTTGATTTGCACAAAGTTATATATTTCCCGCAAGGCAGCTTGTTTCTTATGAGAAGGGAAATATTTAGCAGAGAAGTAATAAATCATATCCTGGGGACTATGCACACAACCAGGATCAAGAGAATTAAACCAAGTCTTAGCATCACCCTTTAATGAGAACGGAAATATCTTAAGGATATAATAATAGCGAGACTTCTCATCATTAGTAAACAGGATGGCTATATCATTTAACTTGGTGAGATGTGCCACAACAGTTTCAGATTCAGTGCCATAGAAAGGATCAGATTCAACTAAAGTAATAATCTCAGGATCAACAGAGAATTTGTAATCCTTATCAGTAACAAAGATATGTGAAGTGGCAAAAGCAGGGTCATGTTTCATTCTAGCATTTAGAGTCTTTTGTTTCAGCTTAGTTAACAATTTCTTAAGATCTGATCTGTCATTGCAAGCAAGAAAGTCTCTAGCAGTTTCTTCATCCAGAACATAACCCTCAGGAACAACAGGCAATTCATAATTAGGAGGAGAACCTTCATCAATAATTTCATTTTCAATAATTTCATTCTCCCTAGCCTTAGTAAGTTGTTCATCAAGAAATTCACCCAATGGCACAGTAGTATCAAGCATAGAAATAGTTTCATCATAAGTATCATGCATAGCAGAAGTGGCATCATCAATAACATGTGACATATCAGAATTCATAGCAGTAGCAGGTTTAGGTGTCGCAAGCTTATTCATAACAGAAGGAGAATCTAGTGCAGAGCTAGATGACAGTTCCTTACCTCCCCTCGTAGTTGAGGGATAAATTTTAGTTCTTTCATCTTTCAAGTTCTTCATAGTGATCATCAGATATAAATCCCAAGTGACTCAGAGAATAGAGTTATGCTCCCCGACAACGGCGCCCGAAATTAGTCTTGATAACCCACAAGTGTAGGGGATCGCAACAACTTTCGAGGGTAGAGTATTCAACCCAAATTTATTGATTCGACACAAGGGGAGCCAAAGAATATTATTAAGTATTAGCAGTTGAGTTGTCAATTCAACCACACCTGGATAATTTAGTATCTGCAGCAAATTATTTAGTAGCAAAGTAGTATGATAGTAACGGTAACAGTAGCAACGGAAAAGTAAATAAGCGAAACACAATATGTGAAAAGCTCATAGGCATTGGATCAGTGATGGATAATTATGTCGGATGTGATTCCTCATGTAATAGCTATAACATAGGGTGACACAGAACTAGCTCCAATTCATCAATGTAATGTAGGCATGTATTTCAAATATAGTCATACGTGCTTATGGAAAAGAACTTGCATGACATCTTTTGTCCTACCCTCCCGTGGCAGCGGGGTCCTAGTGGAAACTAAGGGATATTGGCCTCCTTTTAATAGAGAACTGGACCAAAGCATTAACACATAGTGAATACATGAACTCCTCAAACTACGGTCATCACCGAGAAGTATCCCGATTATTGTCACTTCGGGGTTGTCGGATCATAACACATAATAGGTGACTATAGACTTGCAAGATAGGATCAAGAACACACATATATTCATGAAAACATAATAGGTTCAGATCTGAAATCATGGCACCCGAGCCCTAGTGACAAGCATTAAGCATAGCAAAGTCATAGCAACATCAATCTCAGAACATAGTGGATACTAGGGATCAAACCCTAACAAAACTAACTTGATTACATGGTAAATATCATCCAACCCATCACTGTCCAGCAAGCCTACGATGGAATTATTCACGCACGGCGGTGAGAATCATGAAATTGGCGATGGAGGATGGTTGATGATGACGAGAACGACGAATCCCCCTCTCCGTAGCCCTGAACGGACTCCAGATCAGCCCTTCCGAGAGAGATTAGGGCTTGGCGGCGGCTCCGTATCGTAAAACGCGGTGAAACTTCCTCTCTTGGTTATTTTCTCCGCGAGACGGAATATATGGAGTTGGAGTTGAGGTCGGCGGAGCCTCAGGGGGCCCACGAGACAGGGGGGCGTGCCCAGAGGGGGTGGGCGCGCCCCCACCCTCGTGGACAGGGTCTGGGCCCCCTAGTCTTCATCTTTTGACAGTATTTTTATATTTTCTGAAACTTATCTCCAAGGATTTTCAGGTCATTCCGAGAACTTTTGTTTCTGCATAAAAATAACACTATGGCAGTTCTGCTGAAAACAGCGTCAGTCCGGGTTAGTTTCATTCAAATCATGCAAGTTAGAGTCCAAAACAAGGGCAAAAGTGTTTGTAAAAGTAGAGTAATGGACTCGGATGACGAGGAGGCGCTCGCAGTGTTGCTGGAGGAGGAAGCCGAAGCCGACGTCTAGGAGCAGGAGCATCTCATGGTGCTCGCCGCCCTCGCCGGCCTGCTCGCGAGCAATGAAAAGCTGCGGCAAGGTGGCTCGGCGCCGGGGCGGGTGAAAGCAAAGAACTGGCATCGTCTGGAAGGCTACTGCATGCTCTACTCCGACTACTTGGCCAATGCTTCATTGCACAACGAGAAAACATTTCGGCGCCGTTATCAGATGAGCCGAAAGCTTTTCCTCAGGATTGTGAATTCCATTCGGGAGTTTGACAACTACTTCAAGTGCAAGAAGGATTGCACCGGCACACTTGGATTCACCTCAATCCAGAAGTGCACAACAGCTATGAGGATGCTTGCATACGGAGCTCCCGGTGATTCACTCAACGACTATGGGCGCATGGCCGAGTCCACGACCATTGAGTGTTTCTACAAGTTCTGCAGGGCAGTGGTGGTAGTGTTTGGACCGCAATACTTGCGATCACCCAATGCTGAAGACACTGCTCAGATCCTAGCACAGAATGCAGCAAGAGGATTTCCTGGGATGCTTGGAAGCATCGACTACATGCATTGGAAATGGAAGAACTGTCCATTTGCTTGGCAGGAGTTGTACAAAGGCGCCAAAGGCGGTTGCAGTGTGGTACTTGAGGCAGTGGCCACACATGACCTCTGGATTTGGCACTCTTTCTTTGGGATGCCAGGAACTCACAATGACATCAACGTCCTGCAGTGCTTCTCTGTCTTTGCCAATCTTGTTGAAGGTCATTTTCCTCCGGTGAACTTCGAGGTCAATGGGCGGCAGTACAACAAGGGGTACTACCTAGCTGATGGCATCTATTCGAGATGGTCGACATTTGAGAAGACTACCTCAAACGTTGTGCCAGGAGGCAAGAAGTCATTCTTTGCGAAGGTTCAGGAGGCTTGCAGGGAGGATGTCGAGTGGGCATTTGGTGTGCTCCAATCTTGGTTTGATGTTGTCCGGTACCCTGCTCAGACCTGTCGAAAGATCAAATGTGGGAGATCATGACTTGCTGTGTCATCTTGCACAACATGATCATTGAGAGCGAGCAGGAAGAGCCAGTGTTTGACACTGAACCATACTACAGGCAGGGTCCTCTTGCCCAAGTTGATCACCAGCTACCGGCAACCTGGACTGCCTACCTCAATATGCGCCAGGAGATCCGAGACCCACATGTGCATCAACAACCGCAACACGATCTGGTGGAGCACCTATGAAGGCTCAAGGGCGACGCCGGAAACGACGTGTGAAATATGATTTTTATTTGTTGAACTATATAATTTGTATTGAACTATTTGTTGTTGAACTATTTGATTTTCATTGATTTTCTGTGATGAACTATGAAGGCAAAAAAATATTTATGAAGAATTCACGCCGAACCTCGCCAAATATGGACCGATTCACGCCGATATCGGGCAATTTTTGACGAAAGTGGGCCGAATAATGGACCGACATCGATGCCTAAAAGCGACCCAGGGTCGACGACTGGGTGCCCAACCGCCCCCAGAGCCGATTTTGCCGCTGGCTCGCCTTCAGGCGGCGATTTTTATGCCTCCTGGGGGCCAACGACTGGAGATGCTCTTATGCTAGTTGCCCTATGCGAGAATGATGTTCTGCACATAGGACAATTCTTCACGGCAGGATCACGACCTACATCTTCGGTACCCAACCCAAATATCTCTTACAGCTATAAATAAATTCCCGGCAATAAAAGAGCTACTTATACTCGTCGACAAAACAATTATTCAATGAATGAGCGTCGCATTTCTTTTATTTTTTTACTGTGAAAGCATATCTTTTTCATCTGCGAGGATAACGTAGCACCAACGGGTCAATCCATTTCGTTCTTTTTTTAGCGTAACCAGTCCAATACTAATCCCCACGGCACAACATTTGAATAAACATAATACTGGTAGCCCAACACGTACGTACAGCACGCCAGTCGTGACGCAAAGCGACGGCGCCATGCCCATGAGGCGGCGTCAGAACATTCTTTCGGCAACGGACCAATCACCCAAGCAATCGATCGGACTACTCCCACTCACTGGGGTTCGAGAGCGACGTCGCGAGGCGCCTTCTCCCACTCGCTGCTTTCCCATGTTCTCCCCGACCGCGTGAGCGAGCCGCGGTTCCAGCGTCGCGCCGCCACCAACCGTCGCCTTCCTTCCTTCCATCCTTCTCTCCGCGTGCCCAGAACCTTTATAAATCCCTCTCTGCGGGAGGATCGACTTGCTCCTCTTCGTCTCTTCCTTCTCCTCCATCTCCCAGTCCACCATTGTTTCTGTTCCACCGTACCCACAAAACTCTACTTAGATGATGAGAAACCAGCCTTACGTGGGGTCGCAGCACTATTCCTCCCAAAACATGGCTGACGGCGGAGACCTGTCCTACCTCGATTACTATTTTGAGCAGGACGCTGTGCCTGAGTCTCTGCCGGCTCCGGTGAACCCGCAGGGGAGCAAGAAGAGGGGGGCGTCGGCGATGGAGGTTGACGCGCCGCAGGGGCAGGGGGAGCCGGGGTTTAAGAGGCAGAACTCGCTGTGGGAGTCAATGGATACCAGTGGCGGGCTAGCGCTTCATGTGGTGGAGTCGTCGGTGGGGTTTGGGGTGCCGCAGGTGCAGGGCATGGTCACCCTGGGAGCTGAGTGGACAGGAGGGGCGCCGTGGGTCTCGGAGGCGCGGGGGTCCAAGAGGCAGCGCTCGCCGTCGGGCTCGATTGAGACCGCTAGCGGCGGGAGCAACGAAGACGGCCGAAGCGAGATGGTGGATGAGTCTGTGGCGCTGGCCACGATGACGGGGGAGAAGGGCGTTGGCGGCGGAGGGAGGCGGCTGTGGAAGAAGGACCGCCACAGCGCGTGGTGGGACACGGCGAGCAGCCCGGGCTACCCGGCGGCGGACTTCAGGCACCATTTCCGCATGTCCCCCTCCACGTTCCAGGTTCTCTGCGAGCAGCTGGCGGCCGCCGTCCGCAAGGAGGACACCGCGCTACGCGCCGCCATCCCCGTGCAGAAGCGCGTCGCCGTCTGCGTCTGGCGCCTCGCCAACGGGGAGCCCCTCCGCAAGGTCGCCGATCGCTTCGCCATCGGGGTCTCCACCTGCCACAAGCTCGTGCTCGACGTCTGTGCCGCCATCCAGGCCACGGTCGCGCCCAACGTCATCCGGTGGCCGGACGCCGCCGCCATGGCCACCAACGCCGCCAAGTTCGAGGCCTTGTCGGGCATCCCGGGCATCATCGGCGCCGTCTACACCACCCACGTCGCCATCATCGCGCCCAAGCACCACGTCATCAACTACTTAAACCCCCGCGCCACGGCGCGCAAGAGCAAGACCTGCTACAGCATCACCCTGCAGGCGTCGGTGGACGCGGACGGGACCTTCACCGACATCTGCGTCGGCCCAGGTGCCATGGCCGACGACCAAACCCTCCTCCTCTGGTCGATGAACAAGCCCAAGCTTACCGGGGAGACCCTTGGCCAGGGCATGCGCCTGGTCGGCGGCGCCGGCTACCCGCTCACGGACTGGATGCTGGTGCCCTACTCCCACCAGAACCTGACGTGGACGCAGCACGAATTCAACGAGAGAGTGGCAAAGGCGCGCGCCGTGGCCGTGACCGCGTTCCACAAGCTCAAGGCGCGATGGGCCTGCCTCCAGAGGCGCACCGAGGTCAAGGTGGACGACCTTTCCGTCATGCTCGGCGCCTGCTGCGCGCTCCACAACATCTGCGAGCGCAGCGGCGAACCGTTCGACCTCCAGCTGCTGCAGGGCTTGGAGCTCGACCTAGACGACGACAACCACATGGTCGCCAATGACCCCGTGCCCTCCCCCGCCGCTGGGCAGATGCGAGACACCATCGCCCACAGCATGCTCCACCATGGCAAGGTGGCCGGCGCTGGGTCTTTCTACTAGCAGCTATAGTATTACCTGTTTCATTTCTTGACCCGATCGATCAGCCGATCCAAAGTACGTAAAAGCAATAATTAAGGGAGTAGGACACCAAAATTCATTGGTTCTTTTGCTGGACTCGGAAGAGCCAACAAGTTTTCTTCTCGAGATTAATTAGTCCCATTTTTAGTATGATACCGGGCAACGTTTTCTTCGTTTTTACTTTTTAGGTTCGGAGGACACAACATTGTGGTTTGAGATATTGGAAAGATGTTTCTTCTTTCATGTTTTAGGATATCTCTTGGATCTTGTATATCACCATCAATTTTGCCAGACGTTGTATCATTGTTTCATTTTGCCATCCAAGACCTTAATTAGATTGATCTCTCCCACTCTCCAGATGTTAAAATACTTTGTTTTTGTTTTGGTTAGTACGAAACTCTGATTATGCAAGTACAACTTCCGTACCAAAATATAAGATGATTTTATACGCTAAACTAACCTTAAAAATGTCTTACATTTTGATACGGAGGTTATACATGTTATAATATCTATGTGTAGTTTAGTGTACAAATAGTAGCTTTGAGTTTGTCGTGGACTCGTGGCTGAACTATCAACTCTAGCTATGCTATCGGAGTACTTCAAGGATGAGGCGTATGGCGGGGGCGATCAAGCGGGCGACCGCGGGCGCCCCGCCATCATTGGCCGGGGATCGCCGGCAAGTCGGCGGCCGGTTTTGGGCTCTGGCAGAGTCCGATGAGGACGACGTGGACGAGGATGGGGACTCGCCGGCGACCTCTCCGGCGTCTCTGACCCCTTCCGATCTCATCTATGAGTTTTCCAATTCCGGGTACGACGAAGATGATGTGGCAACGACGGTCGATGAAGTCTTGCCACCCAACTATCCGGCCAGACTTGGGCTTCATGCGGGAGAGAAGAAGGAGATGATCCGTCGCGTCGTGCATCGGAGAACGGCGGCGACGGCAATCCGGCCATGGAAGGGTCCTTTGCCTAAGGTAAGTCTACCAAATTTGACGCCTTTCGACATGATTTCGCCGGATTCGTGGATCACTGTTACGAGGAGGAAGAATGCGCGTCGGGCTAGGCCTCGTGCGGCGCTGATGGGGACCGCGGCTGCGACGCCGGCGATGCCGGCGATCCAGGTCGCCGCAGCTTGGAACGAGCGTTTGAATTCACTTTTGGGCCGAAGTGGGCCGGTGTCAGCTGAGGCTCCGCTTACTGTTGTTTGGCCGGGGAGAGTTGGGTATGTGGCCCAGACTTGTCCGGTACCTAGCAACTTGGAGTGCGACGCCGCATGCAAATCGATCGCTACATCGACGTCTTCCTCGCTGGGCGCTAGGGTTTTCTAGCGAAGGAAGCCGCGTCTTCGTTCTTGCGGTTTTGGGTGTGCTAAACGGATTCTTCCCCTAGGGGCCATGGCTGGCCGGGGAGCGGGTTTGCCGCCGGGGAAGAGGCCCGCTGCTCCGACCGGGGCTTGTCGCGGCGGGGTCGCGCCATCGCCGGCCACCGGGCGTGTTGTCCCACTGGTGCCGTCCTCTGGCTCTGGCCGCGGAGTTGTGCCGCCGACGGGCACCGGTGCTGGTCGTGGTGCTGTGGTAGTTCATGGGACGGCGCCTGCGGCTTCGGGGCATGGCGGGGCGGCTCTATCCGGGGCCCGGCGGCCATTGCAGGGTTCGGCGTTGCGGCCTGCTGTGGGACAGGGCGGCTCGGCTCCTGGTTCTCTCCCGATGGCGCTTGGACCGACTGTCGCTGCTGCTGTGGGGCGGGGTGGTGCACCGCGGCCGCCTCCACCGGGGATCTAGGGTGTGACGCCCGGTCATCATCCTCGGCCGGCTCCACCGCCTCATTACATCGCGCGACCGGTGCAGAATTGGTCTGGGCCGGTGTAGACGCTCGCACCGCCGCCGCCTCATAACACGGGTGCTGGAGGTGCTTCTGAAACGCCCCGGGGTCAATGGGGAGATGATGGTTATAATGCATATGGGGATGGCCAACACGGTGGTTCCTCATCGATGGGTGGTGGCCGTGGATATGCCTGGCAGAGTGATGGCTCGACGGAGAGACCTTTTCTCGGTCCTCCGGGTGGCTCTGTTGAGGGTGCGTCTGGCCCGGGTTATCGGCAGCGGGGTGGTTTCCATGGGCATCATGGTGGTCGAGGTGGTCGGTTCCGTCAACGGCAGCCTCCTCCGCCTGCTGTCATCGAGCAGACGGCTGCCACCGGGGCCGCCGAGGCGACGGTGCTGTCCGGTCAGGCTATGGATGTGGTGACGGAGCTCGCTAATGCTGAGATACCTGGGAATGAGACCATGGTGCCAGTGTCAGTGGAGGCAACAGACAGAGCTGATTCAGACAGAGCGTCCAAGTGGGCGCGCAAGAAGGAGAAAATGTTGTGCTATCGTTGTGGAGAGAAGAGTCATTTTATAGCTGAATGGGTGGCTGAACTATGTGATACTTGTGGCAAGCCGGCACATGACACGGGGGAATGTCCGATTTTGCGTGATTAGATACCGTCTCTCATGATGTATGGAGTGTATTGTGCTGAGCTCACATTCTTTGAGTCTCCTAGCACGAGGGAGATTCCTGAGGAGACCCAGAGTCTGACCACTGGGGTTGTCAAAGTCACCAAAGGAGAGGTCTCTGAGACCCAGATTGTGCAGAGGCTGAAGGAGTTAGCCCCAGGTGACTTCCAGTGGGAGCTTGTTAGACTCGACGCAAAAATGTTTAGGGTGGAGTTCCCTTCGGTTCAGGATCTGCAGAGACTTCTGAGTTTTGGGATGTGCAAAGTGCCAGGTACGAAATGTATCCTCGAGTTCCATGAGTGGAAGATGGTCGAACCTCAGGGTAAGCCTCTTACTCAGGTTTGGTTGCGTTTCTCCGGGGCTCCCTCGAAGCCAATGCAGGATGCGAGGGTCGCGGCTAGCTTGGGTATTATGGTGGGGAAAACTGAGAGAGTGGATATGGCATTTACCAGAGCTCACGGGAGCCCAACTACTAGTGAGTGTTCTGGATATTGAGTTTGTGCCTGATGTGGTCAACTGGACATATCGAGGCTAGATTTATAACCTTGTGATTGAGTTTGAGGATGAGGACTTGTTCGCCGAGGCTGCCATTGGGACTGATGTTGACATGCACGAGGGAGATGATAGCTCGGGTGCTAAGGAGGCACCAGTCGATGATGCTGGACGAGAGTTGTCCAATGGACCAGAGCCCATTTCTCAGACGTCCGGGGATGGGTGGGCACCACCTTCTTCGGTGCCTATGACGTCTCTGAGATTTGGCTCGTTCGAGCCTGCTTCTGCACCTCCAAGACTTTGGAGTGACCGGATGGAGTCAGACGAGGTTTTTGAGCACATGTTACCTACCTTGGATTTTGAGGATGATGTGAGTCCCGTTCTAGAGGAGGAGTCTAGGCAGGCGGCCACTCCCTCTCCTGCTTAGGACGCGGTTTCGGTGGTGGAGGTCTTACCTTCGGGAGGGGGTCCGGGGCAGGTGGCCACGACACCCTCTTCTCCTCTCGCGGTGCCGGAGCTGCAGGTGGCGGCTCCGCCTTCTGGAGGGGGCTCAGGGCAGGTGGCCTCGGCGCCCTCTTCCCGTGGGGCGCCTAGGGTGGCCGCCCCTCCTGTGGCGTGCTACGTCTTGAGCTAGTGTTGGTTTTCCCCGAAGAGGAGAGGGTGATGCAGCAAAGTGTAGCGTAAGTATTTCCCTCAGTTTTGAGAACCAAGGTATCAATCCAGTAGGAGGCTCCTCAAAAGTCCCACGCACCTACACAAACAAACTGAGAACTCGCAACCAACGCAATAAAGGGGTTGTCAATCCCTTCACGGTCACTTACGAAAGTGAGATCTGATAGAGAAAGTATGATAAGATAAATATATTTTTGGTATTTTATAATATAGATGCAGAAAATAAAGATGCAAATAAAAGTAGATTGAAAGCAAATATGATAAGAGATAGACCCCGGGGCCATAGGTTTCACTAGAGGCTTCTCTCGAGATAGCATAAGTATTACTGTGGGTGAACAAATTACTGTCGAGCAATTGAAAGAAAAGCGAATAATTATGAGATTATCTAGGCATGATCATGTATATATGCATCACGTCCGTGACAAGTAGACCGACTCCTGCCTGCATCTACTACTATTACTCCACACATCGACCGCTATCCAGCATGCATCTAGAGTATTAAGTTCATAAGAACAGAGCAACGCATTAAGCAAGATGACATGATGTAGAGGGATAAACTCATGCAATATGATATAAACCCCATCTTTTTATCCTCGATGGCAACAATACAATACGTGCCTTGCAACCCTTTCTGTCACTGGGTAAGGACACCGCAAGATTGAACCCAAAGCTAAGCACTTCTCCCATTGCAAGAAAGATCAATGTAGTAGGCCAAACCAAACTGATAATTCGAAGAGACTTGCAAACATAACTCAATCATACATAAAAGAATTCAGAGAAGATTCCAATATTTCTCATAGATAAACTTGATCATAAACCCACAATTCATCGGATCTCGACAAACACACCGCAAAAAAAGATTACATCGAATAGATCTCCACAAGAGAGGGGGAGAACATTGTATTGAGATTCAAAAAGAGAGAAGAAGCCATCTAGCTAATAACTATGGACCCGTAGGTCTGTGGTAAACTACTCACAACTCATCGGAGAGGCTATGGTGTTGATGTAGAAGCCCTCCGTGATCGATTCCCCCTCCGGCAGAGTGCCAGCGAAGGCTCCAAGATGGGATCTCGCGGATACAGAAGGTTACGGTGGTGGAAATTGTGTTTCGTGGTGCTCCTGGATGTTTTCGGGGTCCGTGGACATATATAGGAGGAAGAAGTACGTCGGTGGATGCTCGAGGGGCCCACGAGACAGGGGGCGCGCCCTACAGGGGGGGCGCCCTATTATCTCGTGGGGCCCTTGGAGTTTTCTTGACTTGCACTCCAGGCTCTCCGGATCAGATTTGTTCCAAAAATAACGTTCCCGAATGTTTCATTC